TTATTTTTCGAACACTATAATCTTGAAGTCCTACATCAGAACATTTTAAATGTAGGATTTAATGGCTTAAATTGTTAGCCCATAGTCAGCGCATTCATACTTTTTTACTCCTGTTACTCCCAATGGAGCATAGGCCGCTGACCAGCATTCTCTAGCGCATTCATAATGTTTAATAAATCAATAGATTTTTATTTATTATTATAATTAGCTTTATTCAGTATTATATTTTTTTGTACAATATAGAATTGTCAGCATAAAGTATTTCAGCGAGTTTCCGTTTCTTATTTCTTGATCGATATTAAAAATAAATATTGAGTGATCGCCAGTTGGATATTAGCATTTCAGAAGTGAACATCTGAATAATATTCATTCTTTTCAATACACATTGGCAGCCATCACAATGTCTCCGATTGTAAATTTTTGTAACTTGTACAACGAAAGGTCGTAAACTTTTCACAAACGCACCTGAATAGGTTATGCAATTAGTTAACATAATGATCTGTTAAAACAAACAAGGAAACATATAACTTGTTGAAATATCTAGATGGCAAGAACAGGTACCTCAGATATCTAAGCAGGTCGCCCGGGTTATCTTTTCCATCAAAACTACTTTTGTTTATTTAAGTTCATAAAGATCTCTCAATATCATTCGGATCGAACAAATAAGATTTGAACTTAATATATTATTTGCCTTACTGCCTAGTATAGGAACTTTTTGAAGACGAGTTAAAATAATCTTATAAGAACATTTGATTAGTTCATGAAAGTTACGATTTCGTAACTGAATTTCATTCAATAATCGTTATATGTATGTTTACAAAACACTGATGACATAGATTGAAATGAGTCAGGATAGTTTAGACGGTGAGACTATAATTTATGGACGAACGCTAAACTGACCTTGAGAGTGCCCATCTAACAACTAGGATTAAATGAGGGTTATAAACCTATGTGAGGAATCAAAATTATGATCTACAGTTGATGATTATGGTTACATTTAGGGTTTTCATCACGAACTGACATCAGCTATAATACCAAAACTTTATTTAGCCAAATGGGTGAGTGAATTTCGCGCCTAAATCCGAGACCTGTTATTTTATACTTGATTAGTTCGTCCATAAATTATAGTTTCGCCGTCTAGACATATCGATTGTTTTTTTCACTATCCTTACTTCTCATCTTTTTATTTCCATTTTCAGTGTTCATGCTTCAATTTATTTATAGTTGTCTATCATTCATCAAAATTAAATATGTTTATTCACATTTTCATTAACTCATTTCTATTTACTACTGAGTAACAATTTAGCACCATACTTCATTCTGGATATTCTTAGATAGTATTGAATTAATTCATATTTAAATGCATGATTTACTACTATATATATATATCTTTATCCTTTACTAAATAAACTTAGCAACTCAATAAATAAATGAAAATATGTATTTGATACTCTATAACTCAATGATTATGAATAGTCTATGCTGTGGGATCTTTTATATTGTTTATTATATAAATTACCTAATATTAAAATTGTGTACAATTGACTATCTAATCAAGAAATAAATTAATACGATAATACCACACATTAGAAAATCTATAATTATCTCATATTATTGAATGGTTCTCGTTAAGTAATGAAACAATTATTTGATTACCCCTTAGTACATGGTGATTTAATATTAGTCAATTTTTGTACTGAAAATTATCTCCTCAAATAGTAACTATTGTGAAATAATAATAATAATAATAATAATAATAATGATAATAATAATAATGTTTCATAGTTTAAAATGATTGGCAATTATTTTCATAAAAAACTTGAAACTGTTGCCTGTAAATATTCATTTTGATTTGTGCATTGATTATGATAGATATGAAATCATAAGTTGGTTTAACCAACAAACAACAAAATACAACATTGTTAACTTCATATTTGACAAGCTCATTAGTTTAATTAATCTATGAACAACTGTTTTGAAATTTAGTTAATAAATTAATAATTTAATAAAATTTCTATTTCCTTCTAATAAAAAAAAATATAAGTAGTATACATGTGGAATAATGTGAATAAATGAATCATAAAACAATTCGTTCAAACGATCTCTATTCACTACTAATATGTAGTATTGTGTTCTATGCTGCTTATATGCAGATATAAGTAGTACATTGCAGCAATCGAATGTGCAATGTCTGGCAACAGAAGATTGAATTGAAAAGAATAAAAAGGAAAACAGAGCAATTGTAATAATAACAGAATTGAAAGAATCATAAAGTACTTAAAGGTCATCTGAAGGAAGATGTGTAAATATTGTATTCTACATATGGTTTGATATTTTAAGAACATGAAGTGTAATTCTGTATGAAACAATAATTTATCTATCCCAGCCAAGTCTTCATACACTACAATATTTTTCAAAAATTAAAAAATTAGGACAACTATCTTCAATCGTTTTTAATGGTGAGTTTCTACAATTATAAATTTATGAATATTATTTTAAATGATTCAATCTAAGGTGTAAATAAGATGATGAACCGAAGAAATTCCAGCGAAAGTTTGGGTAACTGTTTCATTCTAGTTTGATAAGATGGTTCCAAAAATGAGTAATTGAAAATATAAGAGATATTTACATAAAATCATTTTGTTTGGTAGTAATCCTCTTCTCACTAGTGACTGGGAGTAATCGGCAGAAAACCTTTGAGCTAGGTTTTATGATAGTTGGTCGTCGTCAGCAGGGGAAATAGTTAAGGAAACTTATTCGTTTTGTAGGATTTGAACTCGCTTAACTCAGTTTCATAGTAAAAGAAACCACCATTGAGCTTTTCGGCAACAACTAACATGTTAAACTGGGATACTAATATTGATTAAGCCATTGAGTTGTAACCAATCCCATGTTTATCAGGTCCTTAATATCAATCAAATTCTATCAACAAACTTATAATATGGCCACGGTTATGTGTGACTTGATACGGCATTCACTGTATTTTGACGTTAAGCTATTGAAGCTGGCCGACAGATAACCTTGAACCTAGGTGTTGTCTGTTTTGCTGAAAACTCTACTAAGAAATCATAATCAGTTCATTCAAACAAGTGACGAGTTAAACTATTACTCGTTCGTCTCATTTATTAAAATTGATTTGAAATCAAGGATGTGAATGATTGGATTCTGACTGCCGGTTGTCGTCTGGGTGTTATTTGCTCACTAAAAAAATTTTAGGTCTTGGGTTCAATCTACTGATTTGAAGCATAATTATTAATTAGACATTTGGGAGCGGGTGGGAACAAGTCAAGTTTTTTTCATGAATTTATGTTGTTTGTTATATTTTTTTCTTCGGTTATGTTTATCACCATTAAAAAGTATATATATATATATATATTCATAGAAAAACGTATCCTGCATTTTTCATGGTTAAAATCATGGCCTGACATTTGCTAGACGTTGGAAACTAGCAACCGTTGGACATTTTTATCGTTCCGGTATGGTACTCCTTTACAGTGTGTACACATAAGACTCTCCCAGGACCGGTTGCATAACCATCAAGTGAACTACCAATTTTCATACGTCTGAGCTGATATCAAATAATTACATGACTAAGATTAGTTTATGATGAATAAAACTACAAAATTTAACAATCTCCACAAATTCCTTTTATACTACTAGTACCCTAATTTCGTTTCCTGTTCACAAGACAGTTGCTTACTTTATAGGTCACGCTTCAACATGAATGACAAATTCTAAGTTTACTTGATGGTTAAATAGCACACAAATTATGGTCTTTTACAATATCTATGTCGAGTGGTTTTACGGAAAGTAAACTCAAATAAGTTGAAGAACCAATAAAAACTAGAGAAACCATAAACAATTATCTCATTCTAATTTTAAGTGATTGACTCTATGACCTCGAATCTTTAAATTCCCCATATGTAAGAGAACAATGTTTTTAAACAATAACTGAGTATCATAATCCAACTATTCATATCCACAATCTCAAATCAGTTTGTGATTGGAACACCATTACAATTCAATGTTATAGATAAATAATTTTTATTCATGAACAAATTGATTGAATCAATTTTTTGCATAGAGATTATCATTAGCCAACCAATCCATGAATTACAGAACTTTCAAATGGAAAAATACATATTGATAAAGGATATTAGTAACTAAGTAAAATATATTCTTACAAGTTGTTGTATAAATTAAAGATCATTTATATCATTATAATCACAATTGATCGATCACTGGGTGGTGATCAATGTCATGCTTGTCTAGTCCTTATTAGTGCAGATCGAATGCTATCGATCATGTTGCAATGTGGCCACCAGTCTAGGTGACTTGACATTGCGGGCACTATGTATTGATATTTAGATGGTAGTTGGAGGTAGTCAACAGGAAAACCTGGCCCCGGGTTTCGTGCTACTCGTCATTTATATCATCATAATCTTATATGTTTACATGTGATTGTACTATTTCATTGTCATAATGGGTGTTTTTATATCCTCATGGTAAATTTCATTATGATACACAATTATGATATCATAATGATCACATCAATTATATTCTTTACTTAGTATCTATCATTTTATTATTCAATAAATAACTACCTTATCATTGTTTCATTGTTTACTATATTCTAATCAACTGATGATATTATTGACTAATTTACTGAAAATCACCTCTAAATTGTTTTTTATTATTGAAATGATGAAATTGTATATTTATGATTATTATTTATTCTACAATAATCACCATCCCTCAATCCATCCATCCTCTGTTCAATTTAGAAGAAAAACAACAATTATAGAAAATTGTTTACTTTACTTCATCACATGATTTATTTTATATATTAAATAGTAAATAAGTATTCACCGCCGATAGTATCTTAGATATGCTTGTGAAATAGAAAGTAAACTCTTCTTAACATGCATATATGTATATACTGTCACAATTCAATTAGTCATGATCACTTCATAATCGCCTGAGTCATAATGGAACATTGTTTATACACTTTCGGATAATCTCTTTCTAGTTGATGTGTAAATTGTTGATTTTTTCTGAATATTTTCTGTATTATTATTATTATTATTATTATTATTATTATTATTATTATTATTATTATTAGTAGTAGTAGTAGTAGTAGTAGTAGTAGTAGTATTGGTAGTAGTATAATTTGCTTCTTCGCGTATGTACATATGTATATACATGTGCATTCTGTCAGTTGAATCACTCATTTTACTTAAAATGAAAAATAAAAAAGTAGGAAAATAAAGAAATAGAATTGTTAATAACCCATTAGTAAGACATCGTTTAACTAATTCATTGATGAAAATCACTGGTTAAATATGAAATTCACTTGAATTATTGAGATTATTAGTATCTAGGCCAAAAATGTATAAAATAGTGATCATACAATGGGGTTGATTAACATGCAGTGATAGAAAATGGGGATAAACAAATGAACATATGTGATGAAATTCATTGTATTTTACGCTTAATTTAATTGGCTATAATACATAATCTGTGAATTTTGTTTATCATGTTATTTCAAATAATACTCTTATGTGTGTGTAGGGGGGGGATAGTGAAAATGACCTTGATTTTAACTATAAACATTAATTATCAGTTTAGGGATTGGGAAGATTGTTAAGTTTTTGATTGAGATCATGCACAGATTGATGTTAGACCACTATTGAAAATCTGGAAGCACTAGACGGCCATTTCGTCCTATTGTGGGACTCCTCAGCAGTGCGCATCCACGATCCCGCTCACAGGATTCGAACCCAGGGCCTTCAGTCTCGCGCGCGAACGCTTAACCTACTGGACCACTGAGCCGGTATCTAATGGTGTTAGTGTCTAACATCAGCCAATCCACGAAGTCGCTAGTGAGCACATGGTAACAATCAATTTGGGGGTTGTGGAGATTGTTAGGTTTTTGGGGTTATGTACTCGCTCGCGAGACTGAAGGCCCCGGGTTCGAATCCCGCGGGCGGGATCGTTGATGCGCACTCTTGAGAAGTCCCACAATAGGAGGAAATGGCCATCCAGTGCTTCCAGGTTTTCAATAGTGTTCTAACATCAATCGGTTCATGATCCCAATCAAAAAAATACTGACATTAATGACTAATTATTCAGAATGAGATGTGATGTTTCATAGTTGGTGTTTTGTCTAAGGAAAATTAACATGATCTCTAACTTGTCATGATTTTTTACTCACTTGTTTTGAAAAAGAACATCTTTTTAATGAACTAATGTTGATAATAATAACTGATTGATAGGCTAGTTAATATTAATACATGGGATACAAGTTTTATTCAGTTTTTAATTTGTGAATTGATGAATATGTTCATATCTTGGCAAGTCTTAATGAACTCAACAAGGATCTTATAACATATTCAGTTACTACTATCAGGTGAATTTATGATAAAAAGTGTAAATGTAAACAAAAGTTGATTATCCCATTAAAATCTGGTTAAAAAAATATTTTATAGTGAATAGAAGTAAAAAGGTGTTTGAATATTGGTTTTAGTGTTTCAAAAATTCATTCGATTGGGATTTTATAATGATGAATCCAATGGGAAAATTGATTATTTATGTTGAATAAATTGAGTGACGGTAACAAAAATCACAGACATTTTCAAGCTTTACTACATCTAACCTTTCGTAACGGTATGCAATGGATTAGTCAATGCATTTCGTGAGTAGGATCATCTACAGATCTTTCATTAAGAACTTACTGCAATTTAGTTGAACAACTTTTCCATAAAGAGACACACCTCTTCAGTTCAATGGTTAGAACATAGAAAAATTCAAACCACCAAGTAACATTTTATATTGTTTGTTCGAATCTTCCCATTGATGTTTAAGACTGCAATTGATCAGTCTCTTATTGACATATGTATATCCTATGCAGATTTCAGGTACATCCATGTGATAAGTCTCAAATAGGACGGAACGCGCGTCCTGATTTCCACTTCTAGCCACCATCTATCTTTGTCCATCAAGTAACAGAGTTGAATAAACCTTATTCCATTTATTTTGATTAAAACGGTTGAATATAATAAATCTTACTACAAATTTTCACACAACAAAACTATTTCTCAAAGCTGGGTATACAAACTTGTATTTAGTAACTATGTGACATACACTTTATCAGTAGTCGTTACCTAATTTTTCCATTACACTCAAGATGAAAATAAGTAAAAATGTCTTCACATTATGATGAAAAGATTCATAATTATTGACAAATTAAACGATCATGTTTTTTAACACTTTAAATTCCGATCGTTGTAAATATACGTACCACGTGTTGTATGTTTTTTAATAATTTTCTTTTTCAAGAGTTGATCAGGAATTTCGTTCAATTTCAATCAATATAATTTTGTGACTTATTTACTTCAGAATCATTTCCGCAATTCAGATGGAATAATTCATTGTTTGTTTTCTTCAAATAACTACGTATGGGTAAGGTAATTTTCGCATCAAAAATCAGTAGTATTTCATGGTAATTTAGTGATATCTACAATTGTATCATCTTAAGAATGACGAGATCATTTGAAGCCATTTGTTATATGCATTCATTTAGTTGTTGTTTTTTTAATATTTATCGCAAGATAGTTATTTGTTTTGTGTCTTCTTATTAGTGATACTGAAGACTTGATTTGATCAGCTGTTGTGTTGGTATACAATTTCTTTTGATCAGATACCTAAATTAATTCCCTGTAGAGAGCTACAAGTTATATATGAAGTAGCGATTAACAACAACGAAGACTCGTCCTATCTGAGAACTCATCAGTTGATGATTGTATCTCCAACTCTTCTAATCAACTAAATTTAATTCTTGTTAATTTGTCACGAAAATGATTGTATTTGTTGTTATTTTAGCAGGATCATGTGGTGTTCTCACTACTTAAAATTTCTTTATATAGTGATGATGCCTACATTAAGTTTCATAATTTCACATTTTTTTCTAACATGAATACTTTTTTGGTAACTAATATTGACACTGTTTTCTTGAACTGAAAATTATAGATCATATGGAAGTTGATGATGATGATGATGTTCAGACGTCCTTTGTTACTATCAATTAAATGTAACTTTATGAAATTCAACTTGCATTAGATTCCGTATCCCTGAGACCTTAGAGTTGTCCTGTTTGGAAGTATTTTTCAATTATTCTAAAGAAGATTGACACCTCTACGGTATCAGGTCACGGAACAATGCTAAACAACATTTTATTGTATATACTGTCAACTGAACATGAATAAGTGTAATGAGAAATAAGATATTTTGACCATTCTCAGTAAGTTTCTGTTTGAAGATTGGTTTGATTTATATTTTATATTTTGTACACTGTTTTCATTTCTGTTTGACACATGGGTGTGGGGGGGGGTGAGAGGAGGAGGTTATATTAGGTTGTTATAAGAATTTATCATAACATTTCTGAAATGCTATCAAACTGGGTTACTTATGAATTACTCATGCTTGTTACCCCTTGTAGAGGGACATAGGCCATCCACCAGCATTCTCCATTCAACTCTGTACTGGGAAATCTTTTCCGCTAGTTTCCAGTTTCTATCCATCCTTTTAATGTTTTCTTGCAATTCTCGAGGCAATGTGTTCTATGGCCTTTATCTTTCTCGTTTCCCTTCAGGATTCCAAGTTATTTCTCTGATAAAAAAATGCTAACCAGAATAAAACAAACTACTTATGAGTAGTCAATATTGTATTGCACATTTTCTCAACGCATGTGTTATTTCCGCCTCCTTTCGACTGATATAGTTCATATTTATTCAGCCTTATTTATGACAGACTTTGTAAATGTTTACATTTGTACAGAACGAGAATTCCGAGTATTCTTTTAAGTTTACTGAACCTCGGATACATATAATTGGGTAAGGTTGATAAAGACTATTGCGTAAATCACTGCAACGTCAAAATGAAGTACATACACATAAGAAAAGGAATACTTCATAGTTTGTAATGCAAATAAATAGGAAACTATTAAAATTTGGACTTATGAAGCTTGAACAACATTGGTTTATGTGTAAATTAGTCTGTTTGATTTTATACAGACTATGTAAATACGGAGATAGAATATATATCAAGATACTTTTCAGCTTCAAATCCTTTACGAATCATTCCTCAATGATATCTTCCAATCTGTGAAAATCAGTCACTAAGTCATAACTGATCATAATCAAAAGACAATAAACTTTTGAATTTGTGTTGTTATTAATATTGGTAATAACACTCGTAAACATCTATTCTAAATCATGATATGATGACGTGATGAATTGAATCTAATCATATGATTATTTATCATCAACTAATTTAGTCCAATATAGTTGTAAACAATAGTGTTTACGCAAATTTTCAAACTTATCTTTCTACTTACTTACTTACTTACGCCTGTTACTCCTCGTGAAGGAGCATAGGCCGCTCACCAGCATTCTCCATCCAACCCTGTCCTGTGCAATCCTTTCTAGCTCCGTCCAGTTGTAATTCATCGTTTTCATATCTGCTTCTATTATCCGACGGAATGTGTTCTTTGGCCTTCCTCTTTTTCGCTTCCCTTCAGGATTCCAAGTTAGGGCTTGCCTCGTGATGCAGTTTGACGATTTGCGTAATGTATGTCCTATCCATTTCCATCGTCTTTTCCTAATTTCCTCTTCAGCTGGAAGTTGGTTTGTTCTCTCCCACAGAAGGCTATTGCTGATGGTATCCGGCCAATGGATGTTGAGTATCTTGCGTAGACAGCTATTTATAAATACTTGTACTTTCTTGATTGTGGTTGTTGTAGTTCTCCAAGTTTCAGCTCCGTACAGTAGAACTACCTTGACGTTGGTATTGAAGATTTTCACTTTGATATTGGTTGAAAGTTGTTTTGAGTTCCATATGTTCTTCAATTGTAGGAATGCTGTTCTTGTTTTGCCAATCCTCGCCTTTACGTCTGCATCTGAGCCTCCTTGTTCATCGATGATGCTTCCTAGGTATGTGAAGAATTCTACATCTTCCAGAGTTTTGCCATCAAGAGTGATTGGATTGCTGTTTTCCGCCTTGAATTTGAAGACCTTGGTTTTCCCTTTGTGTATGCTGAGGCCTACTGATGCAGAGACTGCTGCTACACTGGCTGTCTTTTTCTGCATTTGTTCGTGTGTACGTGATAGGAGAGCTAGGTCATCTGTGAAGTCCAAATCGTCTAATTAATTTTGAGCTGTCCATTGTATTCTGTGTTTTCCTTCAGATGTCGAGGTCTTCATAATCCAGTCGACCACCAGAATAAAGAGGAAGGGAGAGAGTAAACAGCCTTGTCTGTCTCCGGTCCTTACTTGGAATGCATCTGTCAGCTGTCCTCCATGCACTACTTTGCACTGTAGTCCGTCGTATGAGTTCCGGATAATATTGACAATCTTCTCAGGAACTCCGTTATCTTTCTAGGCATATCTTATTTCTTATGTCGCCAATTACACATTGAAAAGGTATGTTTTTTTTTCAAAGGTAATCAACACTCAAAAACATATCGTTGTTGTTTACTCACTAGTTCATTGTTTATTTTTTCAGTATAGGGTTATGGAGATTGTTGAGTTTAGATTGATATCATGAATGGATCAATGTTAGATTACCATCGGAAAATTGGGAGCATTGGATGGTCTTTTCGTTATTGTATGGGAATCCTCGACAGTGTGCATTCGCGATTCCACACGCGGGACTCAGGCCCAGGACCTTTGATCTCTAGACCATTGAGCCGGTATCCA